GCATGTGAATTTCCCCTCTACAGGAAATACAACATTCCTAGAACATCAACAAGTATCGCTGGATCTTCGGACAAGTCAGCAGGGACACAGTCCCGAGGGAAATAACGACGTATGGCCAGAAAAATCACCATTTCATCACGGGACTGCAGGTGCTGCCCTGTGCGGGAGCTAATGCTGGTCCCTGGCAGCCCACGGTGGGTGGTGAAGCACAGGAGGTTGGGTGCTGCCTCTCTTCTCCAGTGGGATGATGTAGTCTCAACGGGAACTACCACCGATTTGGGCTGAGGGAATCTGAAGCCCTGGCAACAGCCACGCGTTTACTCACTGGACAGATGGCTAGCATTGTACAGGACATCCTGGATGAACTTCTTCGAACAATATGTGATTTAATGGTGGGATTCATCACCACCCAGTGCTGCGGAGGCCAAATATATAAACAGGTTCAAAAATGGATTAGCAAAATTCATGGAAGATAGGTCAATCACAGACAATTAAATATGGTAATCCGGATGCAACTTCCAGTTCAGGAAGTTACTCGGTCTAATGCCCTTCCACCTCTGATTTACTTGTAAAAAGGAAGCCAGAAAAGTTCTCCCTATGCCAAAACTGTCCCTTGGCTCCAAGCATTAGCTAGAATCACAATAAATTCTTTTTTGGCAGGGGGAGGGGGATACATTTTCTTTCAGTAATGATATTACAGCATGCCATTTATTTCCCTCTGCAGCTCCTGAACCTCTGTGTAACCTCCCATCTCCCCGTCCCCTTAGGAATATCAGAAATAAATTAGTGAAACCTACTGGAAGGTGATAGCAATCACAGACACCACTAAATTCCATTTAGCAAGGAATTAGGAATCCCATCACTTATGTACATAGGAAAGGTCTGACTGGATCATACTGAAAAAACATTCTGTCTTTGAGAGTACCAGACCAGAGGAAGATGCTGGAAACTCAAGACGGAAAAATATAAGTTGGTTTGTCCACAAGGAAAGTTTCCTGTAACCCCAGGACAGTTACTGTTTGATTTATTCCCTGACATGCGCCTGTGCAGAGGCTCGTTTTATAAAACACGTACACACAGCACATTTCATACTGCAGGGTTATGTATCCCCATACCCTCTGAATCCTGCTAAATTCTTGCAAACTCTTGACCCAAAGAGCAGCTTATGGCACGGGTTATCTGCTCCCTGCTCCCTTGTCTTCTTACCTCCTGCAAGCATTTCTATCCATTGTCTGGTTTTGAAGGTGTTTAGGGGGGTTTGCTGGAGAGCAGAGGACAAGATGACAAATGAGCTAACATGCAGCAATGGAATGTAAGTGAGTCTCAGCTATTTTTAATTAAGAAGCGATGACAGCTGACTAAATTCCCTGACACTGCAGTTAAAGGCTCCCTGACCCAGACATTATTGGACACACTCCTAAGACCAATATATATTGGTCCCGACGGTGCTTCTATTATTGTCCCCGCCGTCTCGACAGATGCAGGACTAACAAAATCTATGTCTATTATCAGCATGCAAATAGGGAGATAAACGTGTGAATGCTTATGAGCAGGGGGAGGCAGCAGGTGAGAGGAGGACAACGAAGGTCATTTTCAAGGGAGCGCTGAAAGTGCCAATGTTTGGTTCCAATAAATGTTCAAAAGGTTTGGACAAATTTAACTGCCATTTTCATTTTCAGTTGGTTAAACCAATGATAGATTGACCATGAGAGAGTCGGAGAGACAGAAAGAACATTTCCTGCTGTAAGGCAGATAAAAGATAAGAGACAAAGCAGTATGGTGCCTTGGACTGGCTTTTCTCAGCCCGCAGATCACAGGGAGGGCTCAAGGGAGAAAGCTTTTCTTCTAATTTCCAGAGCAAAGAGCCCAGCAACCTGACGAAGTGATCTGGATTTTGAAGGATAGGGATTCACCTGGCTTCATATAAGGAACTCTTTAGCAGAGATGAGAATACAGTCAAGGTGTCCGGCTCCCACTGTCACAACAGACTGGCAAGAAACTGACTGTTTCGACAACAGGCTGTCTTGGAAAGATGTCAAGAGGAAGATACCAACCACAAAAAGACAATAACAAAACTCATTTTCATTCTCAGGGCTTGCCCAGAATTGAATCCAGCAGCAGATCCCTTTACCTAGAGCTCACTAGTTGGTTTTAGTAGGACAGACCAAGAAAAGGCTCCCTTCTACCCTTTCCAAAGGATCATGGAGAAAAGGGGCAAACCGGCACAAAGTCACACAAATCACGTACAAACTTGGCGTGAGCGAGACAAACACATCAAGGAACAATATCAGGAACTTTCCAGCATGGTTGCACAGTGGGAGGGGGAAAAGAGTTGCTTTCTGCTGTTGCTAAGACAGTTCCCCCACCCTTGCTCTCTCCCAGCCCAATCCACAGGCTTTCTCCTCCCATTGGCTCACCAGCCGCATCGAATGATCATGACAGGTTTTCCTCCTCCTCGCCCTATTGGCTTCTGCCTATGGCCTATTATCAGGGGAAGAGCAAATCAGACACGTAATCGATAGTTTGCGAGAAGGAACGGGGCTGTGCGATGCTACATTTGCATTAAATCTCTCGCCGCCTATGTCCCTGCATTCAGATAAGCCCAGAGGGGCCGCGCTGGCGGAGGTGAGATGGCAGGCTCGGAGCAAAGCAGCGCTGCAGCGAGCTGGCAGCCAAAGGCAGCCACTGCACGCTCTAGCCCTGAACTTCAGGCCAGGCTTTACCTGGCAAGAAGCTCAGATCCTGACCTTGCAGGCAAACCAGCATGATTCAAGGACCGTGAGCATCCTGCCCGGGCACTGATCTAGAGGCATGGAGCAGGCTTCCCTTCTGGCAGCCTGTCTGGACTAGTCCCTGGATTGTGAACTCTATAGGGCAGCCAGCTCCGAAAATGAGGAAAAGGTGTAAAGCAGGGAGAAATCTTTCCTGCAGTATTGTAAGTGATGCCCTCTCCAGCAAGCTTTTAGAAAGTCGCTTGGTCTGGAAGGCATCTCGAGGACTTCTAGGGCAGGCAGAGAGCACGGAAACACTCCACAAGGCCAGAGAAAGTTTTCCTGGCTTGAACGAGGATGGCCGATGACAGGCAGCTACTACAACAGTGCTGCTTGGTCACTGCCAGTCTTCAGAAAGTCGGGAACAGTGGTTCCTTGGTCTTGCAGCGTCCCTGTCAGCTTGGCTCTCCCCATCTCACCAAAACCCCGTCGCTGAGCAGCGACACACAGCAGCGGGACAGCTTCCCAGTCTTACCACAGACCGGGTCAAGGCCTGGAACCGGACGCAGAGAGGAGGCAGATGAGTTGGAACACATTTCCAACTACAAGCAAAACAGGCTTGAATTGACACCGTGCATCACTGAAACGCCAATGCAAAACAACTAGATGCTGCCAATGGCTTTAAACCAAACTGCAAAATAAAACTTACTTATGGGCGGTGGGGACCGCAGACAGCGGGGCGTTAAGCACACGACCAAGTTAAACTTAAACGCGAGTAACTGCTGAAGTGGCCTCAGGCCTTAAAGCTTTGCAGTTTAACTTGCCCAAGTGAAGCAGCCGATGAAATAACCCGAGGCACCTTGGGGCTGGTGAAATAGCAACCCTTTGGCTATTTTCCTTCACCACACAGGTGAGTCAGCATCCGGACGACGGAAGAAAAATTGGTGTTTCCTTTTCTGTTCAGGACTGCAAGTGACTGGCAGCAGAAGGAGCTCTGTCCAGTTTCTAGCCTGTTCCTAGTAGACACGTATAAGGACTACAAGAGGTCAGTGAACCCAGCAAAGCCGTCCGCTGGGGTTGATGGATCATACACTGGATGTACGCCATCCCCTAAATACCAGATCTTCCTAGCCTGGACAGTCCACTTGCTCTTTGTCCTTTATGTTATACAGAGGTTCAGTTAGGAAGAGTTTTAATGTAAACTATTGTAAAATAATGCAATTATGAGGCAAGACACAGGAAGATTTTCTATGGAATTTTCCACAGCCAATCTATTTGTTTATTACAGGGGTGGGGGTGGTTGGACACAAAACACTGGGTCAGTTAAAAAAATTCCAAGTGTCTGACCTGAATAAATCCATTTTTATGAAATCCACAGGGATGGCTGCTTCAATATAAGATGGAGCTTCGAGTTAAAAGGAAGAAAGAGAAGAAAAGAGTATGCATAAAGATCAGGTTCAAATCCCTGCTTGGCCTCACTCAGTAAGGACTCTGAATTAGGTCTACAGTTACTTAATGGCTTCAAATATTTTGGGATCTTTCTCCATTTCGTATGATCTAAGTTTCATCCTGAGGCAGAACAGGAAGAATATTCTGAGCTCTCAAAAGTGTTCATGACTTCGGACAAATACATTATACCCAGCTTCAAAACAAATCCGTTCCCTTTTTGATCTTATGTAATACTCTAAGATGTCTGTGTTTTGATTCCTCCCAATTGTGCACTCAAACTGGTACAGAGCTCAATGAAAGAAAATTAATGGACTGGAAGGAAACTCACACTTTTTTTTTAGATCTCTAAACCATGTGCCTCTTCTCCAGTTACCTTTACAATGAAGAACAGCATGAAATTTAGCAACAACCAAGGTGATAAAAATGAACTCAAGTAAGAACTCCTATCATGAGTTAAGCCTGCTTCAGCCACTCAAGAAGATAGAGCCTATGAATGAAGGCCTTGTGATCAATAAAAGCCTTTTAAATAAAATGAAAGCTCTTTCAGACTAATTCAGGAAACAACCTACGACGGCGAAGATTCAGTCCTTGACGGCCTGGGATCAAACTTGTTTTCTCCTTACTGTTAGTGCCTACATGACAACATTTATCTGGACCTATTAAATTTGCTGCAGGTGGAAAAATAATTAGATTCTTACCATGAGCACGTAGGAAATATCCAACAGAAAGGCAGAGGTGGTGCGTTATGACCTATTCTGCTGTGACTATCATGGGCCAGTTCACTTTTGACTGCTCACACCGCCACCGAGGGAGGAAGGTGTGCTCCCTTACCTGGCTGGGTGTTCAGTCCTGAACGACCACGCTGTACTTGTCCCCAGCAGGAAAGGCAAAGAGGATGAGTGTGGACTTCACCTCCAACATTACGCAGGCACAACCTGGGGTAACAGGAATAAGAAATATTTGAATATAAGGGATAATACAATGGGTGACCTGACAGGAAACCCCAAGCCCAAGAGGAGGGAAAAAATTGTGTCCATAGCTCTATCTCCTCACCTCAATTCTGCTTATCATGATGTACCTGCTTCTGGTTCAAGGCTTGGACCTCGGGGGCTCCCAGGCCGACATTCACCACTGGTCTGGCACAGCTGATGGAGAATAAGGAGCCAAGAAATCTGAGAGCCATTTCTGAGCCAACAGCCTGTGCTCCCAGATTCAATTCTGTTTTCAGATTTCCAGTTTGAAAGATTTTCATAATTCTTTTCCAGTTTGTCTTGTCTTAAAAATTATTGAAATGTCAGTTGTCTTGTCTTTTTTGTTATAGAGAGAAAAACTATTTTCCATACGGATTTCACAATCTTTCACACGAAAAAATCCAGGGATACAGTCATCCTTACTTAGCACACTGTATAACTGTCCGTGAAAGGATCTGACTTCTGCCTATCTGCCTCTGGTTTGTTTCCCAGCTCCATTTCATTAATAAAATCTCTCAAGAAGTTCATATCATTAATAAAGCCAAAGCACAGGAATACTTCTCATAACTGCTCTATTTCTCTGATACAAAAGGCTAGTGAAAGGTCCCCAAACTTCAATTTCATCTTGAAAGAGTTCTACACAAGGTAACTCAATATTACTAGTCCCATTTTGCTATTAAACAGAGGCACAGAAGAGCGCTAAGAATTGTCCCAGGCTATAAAATAAATAGAAAAAGACAACCAACAGACCCCAAGTCCTCATCCACAGCCTCTTGCTCTGTCCCAGTGGACAACATCCTTCCCTATGATGACTGAAAATACGGGGGTCTTCTGGGAAACAGACTGGGATGCTAATTTTTGAGGTGAAATGACCAATCCAGCATGGGAAATCGTATAAGTGGATATAATGATCTCAACTTCCTGAACTCTTGTGCAATAAACAGCTTAACAACTTGTTTCCCACAGAGACACCTGTATTTTAGCAGCAGATAAGAAGTGACACAGGCACGTACATAGCCGTATTTTCTTTTTTTCCCGGCTGTACACACACATACATCCATATATGCACAAACAAAAATTGCATGCATATATATACACACGTATATATCAAAGTTATTAAAATGAGAAGGAACTTTGATGTTGGACTCGGCATGGTCTGAAAAAAACCCCAACTACACCACAGCACAGCTGTGGGAATGAACTGCCTGCTCTGTGCACAGCACTGCAGGCACATAAAATGCAAAGACCTCTTTGGAGGAGAGCACAGAGCCAACACGTTCCTCTCAGGATGCTTCTTCCCACCCATCATACCTATCACCTGCTCACGAAAATTAACTTCCCAACGTCTCTACTGGTTAAACCTTGACCCCCTTTGCTGAGCATGTGCCACCCCATAGTACTCACTCAATATCACCACAACACCTGGCTACTTAACAATTACACTTTTAGTAATTGCAGTGCAGACATATCTAAATGAGCCAGGCTGGATGTCTCTGGTACTAATGCCAGTGCTCTCATGAATGCTGATTCTTAAAGCAAAACAATTAAAAAAGAATACATAAACTCACAAGCTTCTAGGCTCATTTGTTTAGAATGACAGATCAACAAACGTAGTAATTTTTAATTGTTTTTTTTTCTTTTTTACAAACAGCTTTTTATAACTCAGAATCCAAAATAAGCCCTGACCCAGCTGTGGTGCCATGTTAAATAGTAATTACTCTATATAAGGCTGACCAAATGGGAATATTTGTGGGCCAGCGGAATGAAATTATTTTAGGACTTAACACAAACTTTCTCTGGGAGTGGTGAGACTAGCTGTGGGTACTGTGGCGTACCTAAGAAACAAGCAGACACAGGAGGGTTTTTTTTCTTCTTCTTCCAAGCCTCCATTAAAACTCACTAGGTGACACTAAATGACTTTCCCAACCTTCTGCTCAAGGGAAAAAGGAAAAAAATAAAGAAAGAGAAGTGAGGTTTGTTTACCCCTCTATAAAAGAGGCTTTACTGTGTCACTGTACAAATTTTGAGATTCTCCCTCAACTTGGCTACCTGTCGTGCCTGCTAAACCACCCCCAAACATACGGCAGAGTGTAAGTAAACAAAGGTGCAAAGCGAGACCCTTGTAATAGTTCATTATACTGGGGGAAAAAAAAGGGAAAAACAAAAAACAAAATCAAAGAAGCCTCATCTCCAGCTCTTACCTACCATTCAGGTTGCTTCACCATGAGCTACTGTGCGACAAGAGCCACTGAAATGTCCACCATCGGGCACTCTCCTGGCTAGGACTGTCACAAGCACCTCTTTTCCAACCCAGCCCACATACTCCAGGGATGGTTCCTTGCCACCTTGCTGCCACAAAGCCAAACCCTTCACAGAGACTGGCCTCGTGGCAAGTCGGTCCTTTTTTGCTTGACCTCTCCTTGAAATGATGTTAAACTACTTCAAGGCACATTGCAGAGTCATTTTTCATCCTGCCTACGCTAAGGATGCGCTTGCACTCCTGATCTTTTGTCAGTGTTTGGGCCCACCGAATTCATGCTGCTGAGGCTAAGGGAGGAAGAGCCCATCAATCCAAATATTAAGTTCATCGTTTCAAAGTGCCTGATTTTGAAGCAGGTGAGGCAGCAGAGCCTGCAGAGAAAGGAGTAAAAGTCCTGTAACCTGGGGCATGTCCTGCCTTGTAGGAGGGTGGGGATCTCTGTGGGGAATCCTAGAAGAAGAGGCTGACAGAGCTTTCAGAGTGGCACTGCTCAGTTCAAAAAACCTGCAAAAATTAGTGGCATGCCATTCTGGTGCAAGTGGCAGTTTTCCAGTTTCCAAAATATCCCTTCTCCTTATGTCAACGGTAAAACGGAGCAAAAATGGAAAGTGGTTTAGCAAGTAGGAACATTGCAATTCAAAATAGAATCAGAGAGGATTAAAGCAAATACCCAGACTGTTCTAACCTGTGTTTACGGCCCAAATACTGTACCAATTCCTGTTATTTTCAGGGGGTTCTTCCTGTGTTGTAACATTCTCTCTGGGATTAAAACTTGGCCCATGCAAGATATGACTCATCTGACTACAAATCGCTGGGCATGTGCTGCAGGTTTTGCAGATGCTTATCACCGACAACCCATCCTACGGTCTCAGAGCCCAGTGCAGCACATTACACGTGGGTTTTTACTGGAGGGGTAGGAAGAAAATGACAGCATCTGCCTAACGCTAAATTTTCATCCTTAATTGAGGACTTCAAAAATAAGTCCATTTTCTGAGCAGGATGGTGGGTGGAAAATAAAATAAAGCTAGTTTTTACTGATCGCAGTGAAACTCAAGTCAATTTTCTAGTTAATACGCACCCTTGCACCCAGGAATTTCAAGTTAAAGATTCACTGCTATGGAACTCCTGTTATCTGCAGCGCCAAGCGCTGACAATGGCCAAACCAATCCCGGGTAGGACTCCTCTGATGTGAAACAGATTCACTGTCTTCAGGTTTGCTTTTCATTCCACCTTTCTGCATTCCAGAAGATAACTTCTTTTTATGCCTGTCTCTGATTAGTTCTTTGAATTACCTACACATTACACGATTATCCCACACTGAGTCCACCCTGCGGTTCTTCATTCTCTTTCAATGACCCGTACAAGGGCCGGTACCGTAGATACTCACTTAGAGACACAGCAATGCCTTTAGAGCTAGCGTTAAACTCACAGGTGGGATCAATTTTAGCTGCAACAAATCACAAGATGTAGCAGGAGGTAATTCAAAGAATAAAAATTCACAGAATAGAAAGAGAGGAAGAAAGATAAAAAAGATAACCATGCAGAAGCGATGGGCTCGCGTAATAAACCGCAGCCTTATAGAACCTTTGTACAAATATTGTACAAATACAGCAACGGGCTACAAAGCTTCGGAGTTCTTAATTATCAGTTCAAATCACAATTAGTAAGGCTCTTCTAATAGAAAGGAGCAAAAAGCTAATCATTCAGTTGACTGGATGCTGAACATCTCACCTATGAACAGCTCCTCCTTAGGCTGTTTGCCAGTGGGAAGGAGCAACAGTGAGCTGGGACAGCAGCTTCTGTTGTGCAGTTCACAGAAGAGACTTCGCCAGTATTGGTAGATCCTGCAAGAGGAGGAAATTCACACTCAGTGGTGGAATTAGATGCGATCTCCACATTTAGTGAGTCATTGACTGCTGGAAAGCCCAGCTCTGTTCACGTGCTGAAAGTCTGGCATAAGCGTAAAAAGAAAGTGAGTTTAGGCCTGGAGAATTCAGGTATTTCAGTATATTGGTAAGTACACGAGAGTCCAGCTGACTGCAGCGGACCCACCTGTCAGTACAGGTTAATCGAGAGCCAGAGCCTCTCGCTGAAACAATGCCTGGGGCTGGAGCAGGCTGCGCCGCCGTCTCCAGTGTTGGCCTACTGAAATCAGCAGAGAGACATGGGCAGAGGGTAGGTCGTTAGCTCAAGGTACTTGCTGACCTTTAGGCATGTACCTTACCTGTAGAGAAGCAGGGCTTCCTGGCACAGAAGCTGTGAGCCCTCCACTCAAGGCTCTGCTGCCTCTCAGGAGAGCCCGACTCCCACCTTCAGAGCCCTCATCCACCCTCTCGACGCCCCGCTAACGACGGCTCCACCTTCACATTTCTGTTTTCATTGGCTAAGACTGGACTCATGCGAATATCATCCTTGGTCTCTTCTTTAAATGTAGATGAATCTGCAACCTTCCTTTAAATGCAATCAAGGTAAGCATGACACAGAAATTACAAGCTAATTAAAGAGAACTAGGGAAAACAAATATCCATACCTTTTGTTCCACTGGGTTGCTTTAAAACACAATGCTGTGGTTTATTCCTTCTCTCTCAGTCTGTCACCAACGCTCAGCTACATGGGAGAAGAGTAATTTAAATTAAACTGAAACATTATGTCTAGTTCATTACTAACCCCTTCTAAACAGTGCTGAACCTCTTACACGGACACTTTCTGCCATAACCCCAAACTATAGGGCGAATAAAGCTACAACAACTGACAGCACTTACAGACTGGGGTTTTGTTCTGAATTAAAATATAAGAAACAAGTAATAAAAACAGCAACAGCAACAGCAACAACAACAACAATCTGATTTCTTCAAAAAGTTACTTAACTTCCCAACCCCAAAATGTTCCATCACAGTCTAAATCTGAGAGATGCGTGTGTGCAACAGATGGCTGCTCCTGCAGTACAAGTGAGACACCACCTTTGTACAAATATTGCATTGTGCAAATCCTCATCAGGTAATTTCCACAATAACTGTATCAGGTAGGATCATTAACACCACCCCTAATCTTACTGATAAGCAGGCTGAGACAGAAGGGTGGAGAGGATTGTCTGAAGTGAATAAGTAGCTAACAATGAGCACTCCAAAGCATCCTCCCATCTCTGAGTCCATGTAGGAGGGTTTTTTTTTTAATTAAAAATATATATATATATTTGGCACAGTTTGACCCAATGCCAACTGAAGTTTGAAGACTTGCAAAAACAAACAATGGACTTCAGCTCGCACCCTAGGTTCATAGCTAATGAAGCATTTATGTTACACTAAAAACGTGGCTTAGCTTAAGTATCCATTTTCAACTATCAACTGAAGTGAAAACATTAATTCATGCAAATCAATGTTCCCTAAACAATAATTTTCCTCTAGAACATTTCTTCTTTTTTAACATAAGCTCTTATCTAACATAACCCATTTAAAGTATTATATCTGCAGAGTTCAGCAATTAGCTCTGTAAATTGTTTTCCCTGAGTATATGGAAGGTTACATTACATAGTGAAATATAAAGTGTACGCTATAGTGAATGAAAACCTCTCTTTGAACAATGATTATCTTTCAAAAAGGCTGGGATAAGGGCCAGATTACCAAAACTAATTCAAGCAAGCTATTAGAGTTCTACTTGTACATCCAAAGTCCCCTGTTATTTCATGCAAGTATCCACTTTCAGTGCATCTTCGGTGGTTTTCAAATGTAATTGTTTATGTGTAATACCCACAGACCGCATTTTCCTGAAAACGCAGCCAGAAAAATCCATTCTGAGGAATAAACAAGAAAAGCGCAGAAAGAGGGAAGGGGCTGTACATAAAGCAGCTAAATGAAGGCAGGAGATGCCACTAAGGGTACTTCAGATGCGACTGAAAGTGAGGACAAGGATGGCGAGGCCACACCTCGTCTGTCTGCTAATCCAGAACCAACTCGTGAGAGTCAGAGATCTGTAGAAAAGCGGTATTTCACGTGGAGGTTGTACAAGACTGCTGGAAGTCACCTCAGCCATCCTTCTACTCAAAACATGGCTAACCTCAAAATTGAACCCAGTGTTGTCCACTTGAGCTCTGAAAATCCCTGAGAAGGAAGATCCCACAGCCTCGCTGGGCACCTGCTCCAGTGCTGCACCACTCCCCCCGGCTTGGGTTTCCCCCCCTTATATCCAATCGGAATGTCCCTTGTTGCAGCTATGGCAGAAGATTTTTTTTTTTTTCCTCAGTTGTTTTAAGAAGGCTCCATTCAGCTCTTCCTCTCAATCAGGTGGTTCATAGGAGATGTGGGCCTCCCCCCTCTGACCCTGACCCAACACCCACTGCCACTCCTCCGCACAAACCACAGCCCTCTCTCCTTGCTTTCCATGTACATCTTTGTCAAAGGGTCGTATCCATCCCTCCACGGCAACGCTGGTCACGTGAACTATTCCACCACGCCTGCCATTCCAGCAGACCTTGATTAGAAGGGACTAATTAAATAAAAGTAGCGCTACACACACTGGGTGAAGCAAGACACACAGATACCAAGAAGACAAACTGCCCAGCGGCAAGCGTTAGTGACGGAGCTGTGAAGACCATGCAGGAACCCAAAGCCCTCATCTTACATGTTACCTTTTAGACTAAACAGCCTTTGATGATGCCCTCAGAGGGCAAAATGAGAAGGAAAGCTTCTCGTGGAGAACAGTCACACGGGGCCAGATGCTCAGCAGATCAAAACTGCTTTCAGTGCGGCTATGCCAATTTACATCAGTTGACAATGTGACCTATATAATGAAAACGAGCTTGAAGCAGCTAAGGAATATAACCTTGATTTCTTCCAAATACATTATATTTCACGCTGTCACTTATCTTTTACATGCCAACATGCAAGCTCAGGAGACAGACATATTTCGATACTCTCAGCTGGGAATCGTGTTCTTGCAATGCTCCTAGATGATGCACATACTGTCTCTATTTGTGTTCACCCTTTCAGATGGCACGGTGCCCACGAAACAAGCTGATTAGCACTTGCCCTGGGCTATCAAGGCAAGGCAATGGTATGTTTAGATCAGCAAACTGCATAACAATATAAATGTCATCTATTCTACAAGAAGCTTTGGCAGTATTTGCATCTTGTGCTTCGTTGCATGTGTGTGCCAAAAAGAAACTCAAAGACTTGCAAAAGAAAGACTGGCATGAGATTCGCCAGCCCTCACGGTTGCCAAAACATGCTGTATAGCAGTAGGTGCCTCATTATAATCCCTGAGGACCATCTACCGGGTGTCAGATTGTATGTAACGTGAACGCTGCTGGTACATATATATATATATAGATAGATAGATAGCCTTTTTTGTTCAGCCAGGCTCATAAGCAGAAAACGAACCACAAACAGTGTGTCTGGCACAGTTCAAGACATGATCTGTATCCTTGCCCAGAAAAGATGGCATCCAGCCTAAACAGAATAGCCCTGGGTGGTCACTAGCCGGTTGTGCAACATCTCTGCTGACGGGGCAAACTGTAGCAATACCTAGGAGATACAATGGATAATGGGCTAAGGACACCGAGTTTGGGACACTAGCTGGGGTGCACGCCAGGCCTCTAATGGCCTGGCACTCATTAGCTTTTGATTGTTAGTGGAGACCTATATGACACGAAATGATGGTCTCACTCCAATTCCTGGTGAGCAAATGTCAGCACCATTATCACAGTGAGCATCCATCTTAGTGGGCTTACCAAAGAAGCCAAGGGCTGAATGGAAGAAAGGCTGATCTATGTCTCATTGTCAGTGGAGGGGACTTGCCAGGACAGAGCTGGGGCGAACTAGCAGGGTTCAGATGCCTCTACAAGTCCTATTTAATTCTTTAGCAGATGGGACAGGACGTGGAAAGAAGAGATACAGTGTGCAGGAAAGATGCACCAAAAGAGAGAGAATGCTGTCAGACAAAGGTAGGGAAGACAACCTCGCAGATAAACGGAAAAACATCGCGGCATGACATGCTAAGGGGACAGCGGAACAGCACGCCCAGAGCATCAGAAACAGAAACTGCATTGACACTACAGCAAATTCAAGGAATGTTTACATTTCGCTGGTCTTTCTCAGAGGTTTACCTTTTGTCCACACGCTAGGAGCTGATAGCAGTGTCAAACGTAAACCCCTCAACCCTTCTGCATCAATTAATCCAACAGCCTGAGGCAGAGCTCTCAGCACTCTGGAATCTTCCAACAGTTTCCTCCTATAGCAAACCCAAGAGTTTTCTGCAGTTCGTATAAATTCACAACTACATGCTTTATCTCGACTACTTACTAATGACTATTATTTGCTTTATTAAAATTTTATTTTCACCACAAACATACAAACCACTTGAACTAACTCTTGTTGCAACCACTGCTGAAGAGCGAGGCTTCCTTCTCCGAGATACTCCTTCATTGTTCTGTAGAACCTCACTGCATTTCTATTTCATTACACAAGTCACCAGTCCGTGCTGGAACCACAGCACAGCCAGTAACACTGCACAGAGTGACTCTCCTAATGAGATTATGCAAAGTGTCACTTAGCATTAAATTTCGATTTGAAAATGGAAGGTTTTTTTATTCTTAGTTATGCTAATGAAAATCAGACAAGATACTTCATATTTCTAATATTAAAGCGGAGCCCTTAACTTTTCAAGAATCCTTAGTCATGCCCTCCTGCTATTGCATATTCCTCATAAATTCATATTTACAATACTTTATGTTAAGAACTTTTATTTCTGAAAACAGAAATCAGGCTGAAATGCTTTTGTTTGATTAGCAGTATCCAGATTAAACTTCTATTACATGAGAGGATTTGTACTTTATACTAAAGTTTCCAGGAGGGAGAGATTGAAAAGATTACGAAATATGCTTGTGGGGAAAAAAAAAATGTATGTTGGAACATATCCATCAATACTTCAGTATAAATTCCTGAAGCACCAGAATTACATGGTGCAATTATCTTTCAGAATGTATAGCTCCTAGCACTGATCTTTATGTTTAACAGAAAAAAAAAAAAAAAAAAAAAAAAAAGGTTTAATACTTACTAAATGAACGTTAATTAAGAGTTGGGAAAAATTCTGTCATAACCGAATAATGAAACTAATGCACCTTGTGCACGTGTTTAAAAGGTCTTTGCTACTCTGACTGTATCGAGCAGAAGTGGCCTTTTATGAGATACTTGTCAACACAGATCTTTACACAAAGTCTGATTCTTCCTGACTATTGACCAAAGATCAGATTTGGACTCGCACAGCAAGCTGTGCCACGCTCTATATGAAACCTTTAACAAAGTCAGCGGTACTTAAGATGAGCTAGACAACTGGAGTCTGGCTCCAAGAAAGCATTATGTAAAAGGACTTGGATTTCTCTCAAGGGTTTTGTTTTTTTAAGAAAAAACAATTAAGGACAATTCTGTTAATATGTCACAGAGTCAGTCTTCTTTTTTTTTTCTTCTTTTTTTTTTTTTTTTTTTTTTCTTTCCCCCTCCTTATATTCAGCCTTTGCAGAAATAGTCCCTTGTTGCCTATCCACTGATCTACCAATTTTCCAAAGTGCTTGACGGATCGGTCTGGGGTTTGATCACGTACCGTGTCAATGCTCG